CTTAGAGTTATCTTTATTGTATACATTCCTATTCATTTGTTAACGTTGTAGATGTTAAGTTTACAAAATAATTAAATTCAATGTTCACCAAATACACCAATATGTGTCTATCATTCTGTGAATGCGGCGAATTATGTAATATGCGATATGTTGCACATACATCCTAAAGTTTTACTGATTGTCTTGATTTTGTTTTACTTCTAATCATAACGTTTTTTTAAAAATCTATTGAAATTCTCTAGGGTAAAATACGAATATTTGCAACAATTATTTGTCTTTTACCTCTCAAAATTCCAAGTTACTCGACTCAATCTCTTATCATCAGCCTGTTGTATCTATTATTTTTCTTTGTCGTCTCGCATTTCGAAAAAAACGCTAGTCTGTCTCTTGCCATTAGTCTGAATTTCGAAATAACGCCACTCTTGCCATTATTCTGAATTTCCAAATAACGCTGCTTTTGCCATTAGTCTGAATTTCCAATTAACGCTACTCTTGCCATTAGTCTGAATTTCCAATTAACGCTACTCTTGCCATTAGTCTGAATTTCCAAATAACGCTACTCTTGCCATTAGTCTGAATTTCCAATTAACGATACTCTTGCCATTAGTCTGAATTTCCAATTAACGCTACTCTTGCCATTAGTCTGAATTTCCAAATAACGCTACTCTTGCCATTAGTCTGAATTTCCAAATAACGCTACTCTTGCCATTAGTCTGAATTTCCAATTAACGATACTCTTGCCATTAGTCTGAATTTCCAATAACGCTACTCTTGCCATTAGTCTGAATTTCCAATTAACGATACTCTTGCCATTACTCTGAATTTCCAATTAACGCTGCTTTTGCCATTAGTCTGAATTTCCAATTAACGCTGCTTTTGCCATTAGTCTGACTTTCCAAATAACGCTACTCTTGCCATTAGTCTGAATTTCCAATTAACGCTGCTTTTGCCATTAGTCTGAATTTCCAAATAACGCTACTCTTGCCATTAGTCTGAATTTCCAATTAACGCTACTCTTGCCATTAGTCTGAATTTCCAATTAACGATACTCTTGCCATTAGTCTGAATTTCCAAATAACGCTACTCTTGCCATTAGTCTGAATTTCCAATTAACGATACTCTTGCCATTAGTCTGAATTTCCAATAACGCTACTCTTGCCATTAGTCTGAATTTCCAATTAACGATACTCTTGCCATTAGTCTGAATTTCCAATTAACGCTGCTTTTGCCATTAGTCTGAATTTCCAATTAACGCTGCTTTTGCCATTAGTCTGACTTTCCAAATAACGCTACTCTTGCCATTAGTCTGAATTTCCAATTAACGCTGCTTTTGCCATTAGTCTGAATTTCCAAATAACGCTACTCTTGCCATTAGTCTGAATTTCCAATTAACGCTACTCTTGCCATTAGTCTGAATTTCCAATTAACGCTACTCTTGCCATTAGTCTGAATTTCAAATTAACGCTATTCTTGCCATTAGTCTGAATTTCCAAATAACGCTGCTTTTGCCATCAGCCCGTTGTATCTAATCATTAGCTGATGTCTGCGTTATTGAAAGTAAGTCCTGTAATCATATAATACTGATCTGTTGTTATTTTTGTTTCCATTATGTTTCCCTAAGCGTGAATTTCATGCAGGTTTAAAATTATTACAGTTTAATTTAAATTGATTTAGATTAATTGTTATATTTGAAGATTGTTTATCAGGCAAAGATATGAAGCATTCAGATAATAGTTTTCTTAGATAAAAACAAATTAAACCTGTATCGTTTCACTACCACTCAGTTTAATTCATTAATAGCCACATATTCAGGCCAGCTGTCATTGGTATTTGTAACAGCCACATATACAATCCGGCTTTCATCGGTATTTTCAGATTCAGGCCGGCTGTCGAAGGTAATAGCCACATATACAGGCTGGTTTTCAACCGTAATTTTAAAGCCGTATATACAGGCCAGCTTTCATCTGTATTCACAGATTCAGGCCGGCTGTCCATAATATTTTTAATAGTCTTGTGTACAGGCAGTTTTTCAACCGTATTTTTATGGCTGCATATGCAGGCCGGCTCTCATCGTTATTTACAGATACAGGATGGGTTTCATCTGTAGTTTAAATAGCCACATATAGAGATCGGATTTCATAGGAATTTACAGATACTGGCTGGCTTTCATCGATATTTACATATACTGATCGGCTTTCATCGATATTTATATATACAGATAGGCTTTCGTCGGCATTTACAGATACAGGCCGGCTTTCATCGGTATTTACAGATACAGGCCGGCTTTAATCGGTATTTACAGATACAGGCCAGCTTTCATCGATATTTACAGATACAGGTCGGCTTTTATCGCTATTTACAGTTACAGGCCGGCTTTCATCGGTATTTACAGATACAGACTGGCTTTCATCGGTATTTACAGATACAGGTCGGCTTTCATCGGTATTTACTGATACAGACCGGCTTTCATCGGTATTTACAGATACATGCCAGCTTTCATCTGTATTTACTGATACAGGCTGGCTTTCATCTGTATTTACAGATACAGGATGGGTTTCATCTGTAGTTTAAATAGCCATATATACAGATTGGCTTTCATCGGTATTTACAGATACAGGTCGGCTTTCATCGGTATTTACAGACACAGGCCGACTTTCATCGGTATTTAGAGATACAGGCTGGCTTTCATCGGTATTTACAGATACAGGCTGGCTTTCATCAGTATTTACAGATACAGACTGGCTTTCATCGGTATTTACAGATACAGGCCGGCTTTCATCGGTATTTACAGATACAGGCCGGCTTTCATCGGTATTTACAGATACAGGCTGGCTTTCATCGCTATTTACAGATACAGGCTGGCTTTCATCAGTATTTACAGATACAGGATGGCTTTCATCAGTATTTACAGATACAGGCTGGCTTTAATCGGTATTTACAGATACAGGCTGGCTTTCATCGGCATTTACAGATACAGGCTGGCTTTCATCAGTATTTACATATACAGGCTGGCTTTAATCGGTATTTACAGATACAGGCTGGCTTTCATCGGTATTTTTATAGCCACATATATCCTTTTATTAGTAATCATACTGTTCATTCACGGTTCTAGGAATTACCAAATTAAGATTCACGTATTGTTTTAGATCACGCCTTTGTCACATAATGGTCATATGTATGCAATATGTTTACCTGTTTGAACAACGCATTTCTCACCTGAAAATTAAACGCACAAAATGATCAAGAAATATAAAGAATTTCGGCAATGTGATGAACATTGTGAAGTCATTAATGTTGTTACATGATAACTTTCGTTTTGTGTTGAGTATATTATTCACGATGTCATGTAAATTTTTATTTGTTATTTAGCAATATTTTAGCCATACGAATTCCCTATACACAACTCGATGTATGTCATATTGGGTATTAGAGACTTGTCTAATTCTCAAATAAAAGGATCTATTTATATTGATGGCTTTGTATATCATCTTATCATCTTTTATGTGTTCACCCAACTTGACCTCAACTTAAGTAGATCAAATTGCCAGTAAGTGCATAATCCTCCCGCAAGTAAATATATAAATTTAGAGATTAAATAAACCATACCCTTACTGAGTGATACAATATCGTATAGATCAGAAACGTTTTCTTCACAGGTAACTCTGGAAGTAGTGGAGAATGTGCTAATTTGCTTGGTAATAATACTATCTTGTTTAACTTACTTTTGTAAACAGCCGTTATCTATGGAAGGTTGCAGATTGACATTTACATACTGTGACACAGATGTTATTAAAGAGACTTTTTTGACGGATATAGTTTTTGTGACAAAATTCTGATGGTTAAATAAATCCAATAAAGAAAAAACATAATACTGAGAACAGGTATGCATCAAATATTCTTTAAAAAAAGAACAGGTAATTGCATTAAATAATCTATGGGTTGTGAACCATAAAAACATCATAATTGTAATTTTTAATATAATTTTAAAAGGTCTTCCTGTGTTATGTAGACAATCCGAAATTAAGACTAACATATTACAGTGAACACTCGAAATTTTAATGCGTGACTTAAGTTGCCTAGTGACACAACCGTCTGAAAACGCTTAAATTATACGGCGATAAAAGATATACGTTCGATAATCCACAACTAAAAGAAAGTATAATCAGAAAAATAAAATCGAATGCATATCAAAACGGATTAGCAAAACACCCAATCCCCCCCATAACACGCAATTTACCTGTATATCTATAATCTACTGATGCAGAACAAAACATGTGCCAAACTTACGTACGAAAGCCCGTGCTTAAATTACTGGTGGTGGGGTGGTGACTTTATTAAAGAACAAAAATTTGAAGAAAAAAGTTTGAAGTACTGATTAAAACTTATTACAAAGCCTTTCATTCCTGCACTTCATTTTATACTCAATTAACACAGATTTCTTCGCCTTCTTCTTTTTCTTTTGCAGTGTGGGTTCCATCAGTGATGTTGTTTCTCGGTTTTCTCAATGTGTGTTCTATCCATTTCCATTTTCGTTTCAGATCTAGATTTCCAACTCTTGTTGCATTGTGTGTGTGTGTGTGTGTGTGTGTGTGTGTGTGTGTGTGATTTGGATTTTTAACGAAGCTTTAACAATTTTTCAGTCATATCGCTACGATGTCTACAGTGTGGTAGTTTATAGTGATGTCTAACAACTTCTTAATGAGGGACGTCGAGTGGCCGAGTGGTCTAAAGGGCTCTCGTTACGGATCACTGCCATCTCACGTCTGTCTGCGTGGGTTCGAGTCTAAGATTCGGCGAATATGGATATGTGATAAAGCTTGCCAGTAGCTTCTCGTGGGTCGGTGGTTCTTTCCGTGGATTTCCCGGTTTCTTCCTCCACCATTAATACTGGCCGCCATAAATAGCCAATCGTGTGCTGAAAAATGGCGTTAAGCCACACAACAACAACTTCTTAATGCTGAGCGCCTAGCGAGGCAAAAGTTAATACCGAGTCTTTAGTATGACTCGACCAGGGTTCGAACCCGCCACCTACCGCACCCGAATCAGACGCTCTAACCACTAAGCAATCGGAGCGGTCAATTGCATTGTGCTTTTTCAGATTGATTCGTTACTGATTGTTTCAGCCGACCAAATGCCAAGTATTTTCCTGAGTATTTTGTTATTGAAATTTTGCAAACTTTCCTATTAAGCTGCAACACTTTCTTAAGGTTAGAGTTGTCTAGCTTGGTTTGGCTGTGATTTTAATTCTCTAGCTTTCTGAACTGTATTCAACCTAACTAAAGCTTCTAACTTTCCATGTTCTGATCTTAATATTCTCTTCTGTACCTCTCATTGTACGTACCATACTCCCTAATTAGGAAAGGTTCTGTGCTTTTTGCATTTCCTCTCTTGTTAGCCTGACTGGTTGGTTTGATCAACGATTTATCTTCATTACCTTGGTCTTCTATATCTTAAACCACAAGCCTATTCCTCATGTTGTTTCCTCACGACAAGAAGACTTCTCTTGCATCAAGTTATGGTTGTGTGAGACAAGAGCCAAGTCATGCACGAAGTCCAGGTTATCATATAGCTCCCACAGTCTCCTTTGTATGCCATTTCTACTGCTTTATGCTGCGAGAGCAAATACCCCTGTCTCACCATGGTTATGATGTCAAATCTATTCGGTTGTCCTCCCTTATAAATTATACGACCTTTGGTTCTCTGGTATGTGTTTTAGATTAACACAATAACTTTCTCTGGTATCCCAGTGTGTAGAGGTATACCAAATAGACAGGCCAGGCATTCAAAAACATTTCTAGTGAATACAATTGACATAAAGAAGAATTCCAGTAAATTGTTTGTTTTATGATGATTCTAAGTGACTGTATATGTTTCATTTTAGTAGATGTGTTGATGACCTCTTTTAGTGTTGCATACAATCCTTGTGGACCTGCAATTTTACTCTTGCTAAGTATTTTGACTGCTTCCCTGACTTCTTCTCTCGTCGGCCTTTAAATTGAATTGGTTATATTTTCTTAATTGGCGGTATTATTGTCAGTTGGCGCTGGTTGGTTTATATGTTCCTGAAAATGCTTTACTCGTCCTTCCTCTGGCTTCTCCTGTATTGTAATGTGATCCCTTGTTTGTCCTTGATTGACTTTTTTCTTTTCTCTTTCTGTATTTCCTCGCAAACTCTTTTATCTTTCCTTAATTCGCTACTTTCTCTTCCTATGTTTCCATTTCTTTCATTTATTGAAGTTCATTTTACCTCATGCTGTTTTACACTTCTCCATGCGTCTATATATACCGTGTTTGTGCTGTCGTTCTTCGCTTTTGTACGAACTGTTATTCATTTCTTTCTTTTTCTTCCGCTCGTTTATTTTAGCGGTGTTGTCAATCTAATCAACAGGTTGTGCTCCGCTCTAATACCGTCTTGATTTCCTTGCAGCTTTCTTCAACTGGGCTGCCCTCTTCATTCCTTCATCTCCTGTAAATCTTCAAGTGTATTGCCGAGTTTTAGCTGAAAGCTTTCTTCCACTACTCAATCCTTGGAGAGATTCACATTGTTCTTGACTACCTCGTAGTTCCACTAAAGTTTTTCAGGTTTAGTTGAAATTTAGCCCATAACAAGGTGATCATATGAGGCAACAACAGTTCCTACTTTGGCTTTCACATTTTGAAGATTCCTTAGGAACTTTTCCAATGCAAATGTGGTCAGCATTGTTCATCGTCTAAAGATCCAGTGAAACTCATATTACTTTATGCACCGTATTGACTAGACTTCTGTTAGTAAATAAATATTGTTCTTTGCAAAAGCTTTCCAAAAATCCCCAGTTCTCGTTTATATTTCCAATTCCATGTCTATTTTTCGTTTGCATGTTTTGACTGAAGTTTCGCATCAAAATTCCAATCGGTGTCACGGCTTCTTTTTCAGTGTTGTTTGATACAACATTATGGACATTGAATTCGTTATTGATTGATTCCTCATTGGTAGGGGAATACAATCTAATTATTTCCAGCTTGACTTTATCCATATTGGTCCTAAAAGTGGCTGTGATCAATCAATAGACTTCCAGCTAATGTTGCTTTATGTGCTTCGTTTGGACAACCTAAATAAAACCACGTATGTAGTTGGTGCTTCATCCTTCATATATTCAAAATATGGTAACTGTTTTGCATTCCTAATACGCTTATTTAGTCTATATAATATGGCTAGTCTTTATTTAAAAAAGTATTGTTGAAATTGAATAGATCCCGTTTAGTGAAAGTACATTGAGTAGTTTAGTTGTCCTAGAGAAGAGTTGTAAGGGGCCTACAGTCGTATATTAGTTTCAGCATTGTTTTCCCTCAACTCTACTTCAACATTTTAACAGATCGTTTATGGGTGATTTCAAAATAATTTGAGATGCCCTTTTGTTTTCTGTCGGTTCTGTTAAGTGTCTTAATGATTTGAAGAAACGGAGAAAAAGAAGAAAAAGAAGCCTCGAAAAAGTCTCTTTGGTTGTTCGTTTTCAAGCTCGGTACATCATGAAATCGCAACACTGTTGCGTGATTTTATCCATTTATTGTTGCATCTATTTATATATCTAATACGTCTTCCTTAAGTTTTTCAAGAGTGGAAAGATTATTATTTCTTTATTATAGATAAATTTAGTCTTTAGTCAAAATTGAAATATAGGAGAAGTCATACGTCATCGACTCAAGTTATAAATATGTGCCTTGTATATTTCGTAATCTCCAACAAAAATTTTTATGAAATAATATGTGTCTATATAGATTATTTAGATTTGTGATATGGATACGTCTTTTGTTACTTATAAATGATAGCTAGTGGCCTGAATTACAAAACATAGAGCTTCCTTTCAAAAGGTGTTAATTACTTGACAGTGAATACAAAGGAGATGAGACAACATCAAGGAATACACGTGTTTGTTATATTGTCAGACTGCGATGGAAAATGCAAATAGATACGTACAGCCCTTGGAGAGAGTTTTTCAACTAAAGTTATTGGCTTCAAATTTGCTGTAAAATCAAAGTAGCGACCAAATAATCAATACGCATAGTTGCAAAATCGATATGAAACAAACTGTAGTGTTTGAGGTTAGCATCAGGCATGGGAATTATCTATGTTTTTGGCCTGTAAACGTTTGCTGGAGCTGTAGTAGGTCAGAGAATTAGGACGAGACCTGATTGTTCAAGGTCTTTCATTAGAGCTCTAACGAACATTTCCTCTAAAAACCGTATTTAATCGAGATTCTTAAGACAACAATTGCTTAGTATCTAAGCTACAGTGTACCATATCAACAGACGATTATTTTCAAAATAATAAAAAACGCAATGTTCTCCAAAATGTTTGCTCAATATATTGAATAACTTTGTCAATACTTACTGAAAAATCTTACTTGAAATGTACATTTGATTGCTCAGAATATTTTTAGTAAAGAGTTTTGGAATAGAATATAGTTGTATGAAAGAGGGGAATACTTTTAGTAAGAGTTTTGGAATAGAATAAAGTTGTATGATAGAGAAGCATATTTTTTGTAAGATTTAGAACAGAATATAGTTGTATGATAGAGTGGCATGTACTCAAAGATCATGTTCAGTTCTGAAGCTTTAGTAAGACTGACGTCAAAAATGATGACACGTCAAAATTTGGTAATAACGCATAGGACCGTGTCCAAAACAAGGGATAAATAATCAACTGTGTTCCAAAGCGGGTTGAAACTCTTGCAGTACAAAATTCTTGCCACAAAATATATGTTGTAGAATCAGAATAAAATAAGGCAAATGATAGGTCGGATTCAGAGTCCAGTAAAAGCAGTTCTGTTTCAAAAAAGCCCCGAGTGGCATCGGTGACCTGACTTGTTACGCTAGGCAGGTAGCAAACTGATAACGTCAGGACACGGCAAAAGAAATTTTATAATGGTATCTACGGGACAATGACGTCAACACTCAAGAATATTCTGTATATTGGAATAGTATTTTAGCCGAAAGTCAAATGTGACCTAGGTCAATGATTGATACTGCATGGTTCATTGATATCGAATCGGATTCATCAGTAGTGTTTTCGTGACCTCTTATACTCACCGAACTCATTGTTTATAGCTCCCTATATGCTTACAGTAATGCAAGACAGTCAGTGAGTGCATATCGTGTAAGGTAAAATAAGAAGTTTTAAGAGCAGACGATTGTGGTATCATTTGGTATCTTCGCTAGCAAGGCTGTTATTGTCACGTGATGCTTTCAGAATGCTTTCTGTTTCGTGATTCAAAAGATTTTGGAGACAGAACAATCGACGGGGATGTATAAATTGACTCGTGAAGTTTTATATAATCGGACTTAACGGAAATTTGTTATTTATGGATTTATAACTCTACCTTTCCTATGTGTTGTCTTCGTGAACGGGCATGGAAGGTAGGTAATATTTTGGACTGGAATAGTGGTCATATCCTAGGCTTAGAATGCCAGATGGGCCTTGTTAAAGTTTTACTGTGGATCCTATCTAATCTGGATCGCCAAGCATCTTGGAGCGTTGTGTTTCCAAATTCAGTTCATTTTACATATCTTTACGTTAGATTGCTACCTGAATACAGCAAGTACTTGTCCCACGGTCTTGTAGTTTATCATTTTAATGATCTCAGCATGTTTCATACTCACAGGTACTTATCCTACGGACTTGTAGTTTCAGTCATTTTAATGATCGCAGCATGTTTCATACTCACAGGTACTTGTCCTACGGACTTGTAGTTTTAGTTATGTTAATGTTCCCAGCATGTTTCATACTCACAAGTACTTATCCTACGGACTTGTAGTTTCAGTCATTTTAATGATCTCAGCATGTTTCATACTCACAGGTACTTGTCCTACGGACTTGTAGTTTTAGTTATGTTGATGTTCCCAGCATGTTTCATACTCACAGGTACTTATCCTACGGACTTGTAGTTTCAGTTATGTTAATGTTCCCAGCATGTTTCATACTCACAGGTACTTATCTTACGGACTTGTAGTTTCAGTCATTTTAATGATACCAGCAAGTTTCATGCTCAGAGGTTACATAGTGTATATTCAGTTTCACGAAATATCAATACTATCTGGGTT